CTCTGCTATGGACTGGGAAAGCAGTAGAGGATGGCCCAGGTCCTTGGGCCCTGCACCCACGTGGGAGACCTGGAAGAAGCTCCTGACTCCTGCCTTTGGATCAGCACAGCTCTGGCCGTTGTGGCCATCTGGGGAGTGAACCAGGAGATGGAAGACCTCTCTCTCTCTCTGTCTCTACCTCTCTCTATAACTCTATCTTTCAAATAAATAAAATAAATCTTTTTTTTTTTTTAAAAAAAAAAGAAGATATGCAAGGACAGCCAGGAAAACACTGAGAGAGAAGCCGTGAGGACTCGCAGGCACAGAGAGACCCCCGGAGCAGCCTCAAGTACACAGGCTGATGTTAGGTCCTGAATCCCTGCGGCGAGCTGACTCCCTAATAACTGGCGCTGGTACGACTGGTTATCCGTCTGGAGAAAGATAAGGTGGGTCCGTACCTCACACCACACGGAAGAGTAAGTCTCCAATGTACCAGGGTTCCAGACAAAAGTGCAACCACACAGACGCTGGAGGTGCTGTTCATGCCCCAGCAGGACAAGACCCAAGTGACCGCACCAGAGCAAAACAGAAGGCAAAGAACACGCCTGCAGCCTCTCGCGCAGCTAACAGGCCGAGTCATCCAGCACATGCAGATGTCCACAGGGGGCCGGCGCTGGGGCACAGCGCGTGAAGCCGCCGTCTGCAGTGCCAGCATCCCATGTGGGCACTGGTTTGTGTCCTGGCTGCTCCACTTCTGATCCAGCTCTCTGCTGTGGCCTGGGAAAGCAGTGGAAGATGGCCCAAGTCCTTGGGCCCCTGCACCCGTGTGGGAGACCCAGAGGAAGCTCCTGGCTCCTGGCTTCACATCAGCGCAGCTCTGGCCATTGCAACCATCTGGGGAGTGAACCAGTGGATGGAAGACTCTCTCTCTCTCTGCCTCTCTGTTAAATCTGCCTTTCAAATAAACAAAATCTTTAAAAAATATTTATCAACTAAAGATATGTACAGAAGCAAAGTTTTACCAAATGGATATACAAGGAAACAGACCAAAATCCGATAAAAAAAGTTAAAGATAGGAACAGAAAATTCAGCCCTACAAAATGTATGGAGGGGCTGGTGTTGTGGCACAGTGGTATGGTAAAGCGCTGCCTGTGACGCCGGCATCCCGTAAGGGCCTGAGTACTGGTTACTCTAAATCCAATGCAGCTCCCTGCTCAGGGCCTGGGAAATGCAGCAGACAATGGTCCAAGTACTTGGGCCCCTGCACCCACACGGGAGACCCGGATGGAGCTCCTGGCCCAGCCCTGGCCATTGTGGCCATCCCCCTGGGGAGTGAGCCAGCAGATGGAAGAACTCTGTCCCTCTCTCTTTGTAGCTCTTTCAAATAAATAAATCTTTAAAAAATATATATGAATGAAAACTACATTGAGAGGTGATCTCAGCTGAGACTGGCCAGTCAGAAACCTGCAGACACCCTGTGGGCCAGGCTGTGGGCAAACAGGCTCTCAGTGTGGCTGGAAGGTCTGCAGGACACAGCGGCACACCCAGTAAAACTGCACATGCATGGTCTGTCTGAGACTTATGTATGCATTTAAAAGGCAAAATTAGAGAGAGGGAGAGAGGGAGGGAGGGAGGGAGGGAGAAAGAGAGAGAGAGAGGGGAGAAAGAGAGAGAGATTGATCTTCCCACCACTGGTCCATTCCCCAGATGGCCACAGTAACCAGGGCTGCTTGAGGCCGAAGCCAGGAGAGGAGCTAGGAACACTACCCTAGGGCCCACCTGGGTGCAGCGGCCCAAGCACTCGGACCATCTTTTCCGTCTTCCCAGGTGCATTAGCAGGGAGCTGGACAGGAAGTGGAGCAGTCAGGACTAGAACTGGAGCTCATAGGGGATGCCAGAGCTGCAAGCAACAGCTCAAACCTCTAGGTGACAACGCAGGCCCCTGCACTGCTTCCGAAAAATTACTCTGCAATGCATCCTCATGCAACATGAAAACAGGAGCGGCCAGCAGTGCCCATGCAGCAGGAGTAAGCACGGGTGTCAGAAACGATCTAAGACACACAGGCGAGTGCTCAGTGAGTCATCACAGATTTTACTTTTTTTTTTTTTTTTTTTTTTTGACAGGCAGAGTGGACAGAGAGAGAGACAGAGAGAAAGGTCTTCCTTTGCCGTTGGTTCACCCTCCAATGGCCGCTGCGGCTGGCGCGCTGCGGCCGGCGCACCGCGGCCGTTGCACCGCGCTGATCCGATGGCAGGAGCCAGGTGTTTCTCCTGGTCTCCCATGGGGTGCAGGGCCCAAGCACTTGGGCCATCCTCCACTGCACTCCCAGGCCACAGCAGAGAGCTGGCCTGGAAGAGGGGCAACCGGGACAGAATCCGGCGCCCCGACCGGGACTAGAACCCGGTGTGCCGGCGCCACTAGGTGGAGGATTAGCCTAGTGAGCCGCGGCGCCGGCCTACAGATTTTACTTTGAAAGGAGTCCCATGCAGCTATAGAGAGGAGGAAGACCTCTCTGAACTGATGTAGAGTGACTCCCAGAACACACTGAAGTGCCAAAAATAGGCACACGACACCAGTGTGCAGTGTGGATGCTGGGACCCAGGTTCCTCTGCCCGAGAAGGGGCGGCGGGGATCACGTGGACCAGAGAACCTGGGAGCCCCTGGTCTGAACACACCAAGTAGAGATGTGCAGGTCACGTGCCCGTGCACACATGCATGCCCGCCCCTCCTTGCTCTGCCACTGACAGCTCCAAGCAGCGCACTAAGCAGCACTCTCACCTGGGAAGAACCAGATGGGCCCAGGGCGCCTGACGAGCACACAGTGCTGAGCCCGGACTCAGGGAAAGGCCATCCTGAGAGGGCGCCAACCGAGGCCTCTGGGACACCTGGGCACCACTATAGATCCTCAACCGCAGGACAGTGGGGCCCCGGCAGCCACCCTGACACAACGCCTGGGCCACAGAGCGCTCTTCCTGCACTAGAACTCAAATTCAGGCGGAGTAATAACGGAAAAATCACCATGCGGCAAACAACGCAGTAATAATCACTTCAGGCAGAAATCATTAATGGGGGCCAGCGCTGTGGCATAGTGGGTAAAGGCACCGTCTGCGGCGCCAGCATCCCATATGGGTGCTGGTTTGAGCCCCAGTTGCTCCACTTCCAATCCAGCTCCCTGCTAATGGCTTGGGAAAGCAGCGGAAGACAGCCGAGTGCTTGGGTCCCTGCACACATGTGGGAGACCCAGAAGAGGCTCCCGGCTCCTAGTTTTGGATTGGCCAAGCTCCAGCTGTTGTGGCCACTTGGTGAGTGAACCAGTGGGTGGAAGATATCTGTCTTTCTTTCTATAATTCTGTTTTTAAAATAAACGAATCTTAAAAAAAAAATCATGGGGCCAGGATTGTGGCATAGCCAAGTTCAAGCCGCAGCCTACAGAGCTGGCATGCCACATGGGTGCCGGTTTGTTTCCCCCGGTAATGTGCTTGAGAGAACAGTGGAAGATGGTCCAAGTCCTTGGGCCCCTGCGCCCATGAGGCAGTCCCAGAGGAGGCTTCTGGCGCAGCTCCAGCCATTGTGGCCATTTGGGGAGTGAACCAGCGGATGGAAGACCTCTCTGTTTCTCCCTCTGTCTGTACCTCTGCCTTCCAAATAAATACATCTTTTTCAAAAATCACTACTGTATTTGAATGGGTGAAATTTCGACACACAGGGCACTGGGGTAGGTTCTGCTTGGCAATGCCCACATCCAGTACTGGGGGCGCCAATTCAAGTCCCACTGCTCAGCACTTCTGATCCAGCTTCTTGCAAGGTGCCTAAGTCCTTGGGCTCCTGGCAGACCAGGACGGAGTTCCTGGTTCCTGGCTTCAGGCCCTGGTGAACCCACGGACTGAAGATCTGTCTTTCCATGTTACTCTGCCTTTCAAATAAAGGAAACATTAAAAACAAACAAAACAAAACAGGATATTCACTCCCTCATAAGACACTCAAAATGAGCAAAGAGGAAATGTTAACCTGACCAGAGAAACTGAGTAACCACCACCTCCACCACGCCCAGCACTCACGTGCCCTGGGATGTGGGGAGTATGCCATGGTTGGCCTTTGAATCCACAGATATAGACCAGTGATTACCAATCAATCTCGGACAGAAAATATTAGGAAAAAAACTGTGTGTACTGAGCATGTACAGACTTGTTTTCATGCTTAGATTCCCCAAACAGCACAGGACAACAAATCTCTGCACAGAATTTGCATTGTACTGGGGCTTATCAACCATCTAGAGCGGAGGAGGAGTTACAGGAGGATGTGCCGGGGGTCTCTGCAGACACAACGCCATTTCATACATGTGCTTCAGCACTCGGGGGTCATCCTGGAAGCCATGCCCCAAGGACACCGGGAGACCACCTGCTGGAGGGCAGGACAGACCCGGCACGTCCATGGCACTGATGCCCACCATACAGACGCAGCCACTAAGACAACTAGAGGGCACCCTGCAGAAGAGATGGACTGGACTTCCCAACAAGACCCAGGGCATGTGAAACACAAAACCAGGGGAGCGCACCTCAGCTAAGAGAAACGACGGAGCTAGGATGTGAGGAGCCACAGCAGAATACAGGACAACTAAGGAGCCAGGAGTGAGGTCTACAGTGAGACAACCAGTTCGTACTGGTCTGAGCGTCCGGACTGCGTGCCGAGGTTACGGAAGGCAGTCTCGCTTTGAGGGAACACGCGGAAACATTTCAGAGAAGAGGCCTGGCATCTAAAGCTGAGAGGGAGAGGGAGAGCGTGTGCGCACGCCAGAGCCACAGAACACATGCGACGCTGAGGCAGGGGCCTTGTTGTGTGTCGCTTTTTGGTGAGTCCAGTGACATCTCAAAACCACACGAGCACGGCACTGGCTACTTGTCCCGCAGGGTCAGGAAGGGACTGCCAAGAGGGCACAGGAGCCACCGAGGGAGAGCGGAGCGCCTCCCTCCTCCCCCTGCCCGTCAGCACCGCACGCCAACGCCCCTCGCTGGGTATTTACCGATCGAGCTGCCGGCTCTGTCTCCTTTCTTCTTCTTGCTCTTCCTGCTCTTGCCTCTGGGCTGCGGAGAGTCCGCCAGCAGCTGCCTGCCGCTCTGCTGATGCTCACCCGGCGAGCTGGGCTCGGCGAGCACGGGGTTTGACCTTTCGTCCTTGACGTGGTTCAGCTGCTTCTTGTTATTGTTATTACTGTTGACTTTCCTCTCCTCCCTCTTCTGCTCCGCAAGGGGAGTGAGCTCCGTCACTCTAGCCTTGGACTCCACCTGGGCCCGGGGTCTGGGCTGTCCCTCCACGGCTCTGGGGGACTCCATGGGCCTCCTGGCTGGCTCACTGCCGGCCTTACTGGACTGTTTTAGTTTCTGTTTGCCATTTCCCTCCTTATGGTGATGCATTATGTCAAAGAGGAAAGAGAGTGGCTCGTGCTGCTTGCCATTGGCCTCCTTGGGGAGAAGTTTGGAGTCCCTGGTGTCGATGGGGTCTGCAGGGTCCCCGTCAGCTCCTGGGCCCGGCCTGGACTCCGTGTGGCTCACATGTCTGGAAGGGGAGCGGGATGAGGTTTCTGGTTCTTCAGTTTGCTCTAGTGAGCCGTTGTGGATGCTTTCAGAGTTGGGGACAGACTCTGTGGCTGCCTGGAAGTTTCTAGCAAGCATGTCCAACTTGGGGCAGTCTTTACTTGGCCTGTCTTTCTTCTTCTTTTTTACAGCTCTTAGCTTCTGGAGCTCCTGAAGCCGCTGAAACTCCTCCTTGAAATGCTCCTCCTCCTCCTCCTCTTCCTCCTCCTCCTCCTCCTCCTGCCGCCTCTGCTCCCCTTGCAGGTGCAGGTGCTCCCGGGCCCTGGCCTCGGCTTCCAAGCGTGCTTTCTCTTCCAGCTGCCGGCATGAGAAGAACAGGTGACACAAGACAACAGTGAGTCTTTTTCCAATGGAGACACACAAAGATACGATAACCAAAACCTACTCACGTGTGGGGACGCACACTCTGAAAGGGGCCCATGTCAGCAAGCACTGACGTCACGGCTACTCCACGTCATTGCTAGGGTTCACGCATCTGCCAAGGCACGGGCTTACGTGACTTGGGGGTGGGCCAACAGCTAACACATTTCTAGAAGCCTTGGCCTTGCGCTGCACACATGAAACAAGGTCAAAGCAGCTGCTCCGCCTGTGTCCCGGGAGCCGGCTGCCCCCTCGTGTGTGGACAAGGAATCACGCTGGCTGGTTGTGCGACTGGCCCTACAGACTGAAGGCCGGCTGCTGGAGCTCTGGTGAGCACACTCACCTGCCGCAACAGAACTACCGGGACACTTGTATGAAACAACGTCACAGTCCTCTGCCCATTCAGCGCACAGACCAAAGCCCCAGTACATCCTCATAGTGTAAAAGAGCAAATGACTTCACAAGTATTTAATGCTGCATGGCAGGTAAGGTATGAGTCGTTTCTGCCATCCACCTTGGCAGGAACTTGGTTTGCATCCTGAGGGAAGGCTGCACTTCAACAGTGACACATGTTACAGGGGTGGGAAAAGAACCTGTTCTGTTTAGAAAACAAACGAAGTCATACAGCAAATGAAGATAATCTTTACAACCAAAGCACGACCTCTAGCACAGGACAGCCAGGAGCAGCTGCGGCCCAGAAGAGTCCAAGGCAAACCCACAGACAGCTACCGGGACAGGCTTGGCCCCAGGAACGCACACGCATCACATATTATGTATCTGTGAGGCACAGACACACAGAGCGCGCCCATCTACTGGTTCATTCCCCCAAATGCCCACCATGCCCAGGGCACGAGAGGGAGGTGTGGGAGAGGGGAAGTGAGGAGCCAAGAACTCAATCCAGGTCTTCCATGTCGGTGGTGGGCACCCAATTCCTTGAGCCATGGCCTGCTACCTCCAAGGGTCTGCACTAGCAGGCAGCTGGAGTCAGGAACTGGAACTGAATTCAGGAAGTCCAGAGTGGGATGTGGACACCTTAACCACAGCTGAAACAGCGCTCCCTATTTTTCAGTATTTTTTAAAAAGATTTATTTATTTGAAAGGCAGACTTGGCGAGAGGGAGCGAGAGGGAGGGAGAGGGAGGGAGAGGGAGGGAGGGAAGGAGAGAGGGAGGGAGGGAGAGGGAGAGGGAGGGGGAGTGAGAGTGGAAGGGAGGGAAGGAGAGGGAGGAGGAGAGAGGAAGAGGGAGGGGAGGGAGGGGGAGAAAGGGAGAGGGAGGGGAGGGGAGGGAGGGAGTGAGGGAGGGATGGGGGAAGGAAAGTTTCATTTGTTGGCTCCATCCTCAAATGGCCATAATGGCCAAAACTGAACCAAACCAAAACCAGGAGCCAGGAGCTTCCTCCAGGTCTCCCACGTGGGTGCAGGGGCCCTAGGATCTGGGCCATTTTCTGCTGCTTTCCCAGATGCATCAACAGGGAGCTGGACTGGATGTGGTGCAGCTAGAACTCAAACCAGTGCTTGTATGAGATACTGGTGTTACAGACAATGGCTTAACCCGCCACACCAAAATGCTGACCACCCGTCCCATTTTTCAGTAGTTTTAAGAGATAAATTAGGGGGTCGCCATCTGTGGTACTGGCATCCCATATGGATGCTGGTTCTAGTCCCAGCTGCTCCTCTTCCAATCCAGCTGTCTGCTGTGGTCTGGGAAAGCAGTGGAAGAGGGCCCCGGTGTTGGGCCTGCCCCCACACGGGAGACCTGGAAGACGCTCCTGGCTTTGATCTGCACAGCTCCGGCCTCCACTGGATGGCGGATCTCTTTCTCTCTACGCCTCTAACTTTCCTTCTCTGTAATTCTTTCAAATAAATAAACAGATCTTTTTTAAAAAAGGACAAACTTTAAAAATTTGTGAAAATTTAATAATACATTTTAAAAATCTATTTTGGCATATAAAGTAACAGCTGTTTAAAAGCCTTGCTCCATATGGGAAAAGGGGCAGCAGCCTGGAGGGGCCCTTTGAGAGGGCCCAGTGTCTGCCGTGGGATGTGGGTGGACCAACTCTGCCGCCTCACACACAGAGCTGCACGCCCCCTCACACCACGTCCTGGGAACTCACACACGGTGGACACAGCCGTCCTACTCCGCAGCTGAACACGCCTTCATTTCACTCAGAGCGCCTCACACGGCTCTGAGGGCTGCCCTGGAAAACGGGAGGTAGAGAGCACCGAGAGGAGTGAGGGGCACTGAGCACAACCCACGGCACGCGGTTTCCGTGGCTCAGGTGGGCCAACAATGAGCCTGCGTCACCACTGATTTACCCACAAGATCTGAGGGCAGGAGTCTAGGACAGCAGCCCTGGAAAGCAGTGGAAGCAGCCCTGGAGGCCTCCACACTGGCACGCGGCCGAGCGGAGAGCGTATCTCCAGCTGTGCAGGGCTCAGGGACCCACATCACCTGGGCACAGATCAGGCCAACCTCAGACTCCCAACTGGGGCAGGCGGTCAGTGCAGCTCCACTCTAGAACAATCGCGACTACTGTAGGATGACATACGGCCCAAGCTCTGGCCCCCTGTGGCACTGACTGTCCTCCTCACATCTTTGCCTGACCACACTGAAAACAGATACCTTGCCTCTCCCCGAACGACTGTCCTGTCAGAACCCTCATAATACTCACAAGCTCCCCTCTGCACGTAGCCCTATCTGCCTGTTTGGGTCTAGCTCTTAGAGGCTGACATTTTAGGGAGCCAAAACCAGGAGAATGCTGGGAATTGCTGCAGCACAGGTGCTGTTCACAAAGTCCAACAGAAATTGTTTTGGTGAACTGGCAAACCAGAGCTCATCTGTTTCCACCATGCGAGGTAAAGAACACAGTTCTCATGTACAAGCAGACACGCCTCTGAGCTCATCACCGGCAGGTCCCGGGCAAGTGCGTTCACGGCACCCCCGCCGGGGCGAGGCTCCTCAGACCCAAGCCCCAGAAGACATCACTGGGCCCAGGGCCATGCCGCAGGTGCACATCATGGCGACTTCTTCACCACGGGCACCCACCCCAACGGCACACTGTCCACACCCAAGGGCTCCTTCTCCCTCTCCCACAGATGGAGTGGGGGCCTTGCTGCTGCCTGCGCGGTGGCCAAGCACAAGTGCACGAGGCTTGCGTGAGATCCGCTGAGAAACCCGCAGAGAGCCCCGCAGGCTGCTCAGGGGACGTGGACACGCAGTGAGCTTCACGCCCAGCTTCCGGCTGCAGGAGCTCGGGCCCAAAGGGGCTCCCGCAGCACCCAGGCACCAGCGCCTCCCGTGAGACCCAGCACTTGCCTTCCTCTGCTTGTGCCGGGCCCGCTTGGCTGCCCGGGTGCTGCTCACGGGCTTGGTTTCGGAGCTGTTGATGAACTGCAGCAGGTCCTCGACGCGGCGGTGGTCCACGACGCTCTCCCTTTCTGAGACCTGGTCCATCTTCTTAGGCTGCTCTTCCTTCCTCTTGGTCAGTCGCAGACGAAGCTTTTCCCTCATTTCTGCATAATTCCTACTGGTGGGTGCAGCTGGCGGCTAGGACAAGCAAGAACACAACCAATGAAGCTCCGGCTTCTAACAACTTTTCATGTAACAAATTTCAGACAAAAATACTTGCGTTGTACAAACTCACTGAGAAACATAAGGAAATGAGATAAACAAATGGTAGAAAAATCAATATTCAAGTATCCCCCAAATTGAATTTTGGCACTTAGCTCATATTTTATATACCAACAAAAAAATCAAGTAAAATATGTATACAAATGGATTGTTTTAAACGGAAAAGAGACGACTCCACTGCTGCCTACTCCACTTTTTATTTAACACAGGGTGATTATCTTCTTAGGTCAATAAGCCAGTGTACAGCATCTTCCCACTTGCCGGTTTCCTTTTAGTGCTGGAAAGGAGAAAAAGTTGTGCCTTCAACTCAATTTCTGACACGGGTATCTCAGGAATGCCGACAGTGCACACAGACTCTAGGCCTGCTGCTCCTCCACCCGCTCCAGGGCCACGCGTGCCACTTGCTCGTACTGATCGAGTCACTGCTGTGGACACACGCAAGCACAACACGCACTGGCATCCCTCAAGCCCACACGGGACGGACCAGAGTGCTCCACGTCACAGCACGGGCGTGCCACAGCCAGCTGCTTCCTGCTGCTGTGTGTCAGCCGGCTCTCTTCACTGCCACATAAAAAATCACTCACATTAAAAAGCGCTGCAGTTAAACCCTTATAGCCAGACTGCCCCGATGCTTCAGGGTCAGCGCGAGCGCGGCACACAGGTGTCTCAGGGCACTCCCCCGCGACTGCCAGGACGCAGAGCTGAGGCACTTACCCCGCCGTGCCCGAAGAACTCACAGTAGCAGCAGTCACAGTACTTGCCCTCCTTCTGGTTGGTGGAGGTGGAGGTGCTGGAGCTGTGCTCGGAGCAGCTGTCCTCATCCGCACTCTCGTCCCCATCGTCCTGCTGTGGGTCGTACACGCCGTTCTCACAGCGGTGCCCTTCGCAGTCAGGGTCACTGCAAAACCACACACGTTCTGTTTAACGTTTATTTAGTCGAGAGGTAGAGTTGCAGCAAGAGGCAGAGACAGAGACAGAGGGAGGTCTTCTATCCACCGGTTCACTCGCCAAATGGCCACAAGGGCTGGGCTGAGCCGATCTGAGGCCAGGAGCTTCTTTCAGGTCTCCGACGTGGGTGCAGGGCCCAAGCACTTGGGCCATCGTCCACTGCTCTCCCAGGCAGGGAGCTAGATTGGAAGCAGAGCAGTTGGGACTTGAACTGGCACCCACATGGGATGCTGGCGCCGCGGCGGAGGCCTAGCCCACTGCTCCACGGTGCCAGTGCCGGCCCCGGCACACGATGGGCTCTTAAAGCAGGCACTGGCTCCATCTGCTCGTCGTACTCACTGCGCTGCCCACTTCACTTTTTATTTACTTTTTTTTTTTTTTTTTTTTGACAGATAGTTACAGAGAGTGAGAGGGAGAGACAGAAAGGTCTTCCTTCCGTTGGTTCACTCCCCAAATGGCTGCCACAGCCGGCACTATGCCGATCCAAGGCCAGGAGCCAGGTGCTTCTCCTGGTCTCCCATGGGGTGCAGGGCCCAAGCACCTGGGCCATCCTCCACTGCACTCCCGGGCCACAGCAGAGAGCTGGACTGGAAGAGGGGCAGCCGGGTGCCCATAAGGGATGCCAGCACCACAGGTGGAGGATTAACCAAGTGAGCCACGGCACTGGCCCCACCCACTTCACTTAAAAAACAAGATCCATCTATTTGAAAGGCAGAGTGACGGAGAAGGCAGAGAGAGAGAGAGAGACAGAGACAGAGATCTTCCATCCACTGATTCACTCCTCAAATGGCTGCAACAGCGTAGGTGCAGGGTTCCAAGGACACAGGCCGTCCTCTGCTGCTTTCTCAGGCGCGTTAGCAGGGAGCTGGATCAGAAGTGAAGCAGTCGGGACCCAAACTGGTGCCCACATGGGATGCCGGCACTGTAGGCACTGGCTTTACCTGCTGTGCCACAGCGCAGGCCTCCCGGTATACATTTTAGCCACCTTCCTTCTGATTCTACTCAATGTGTAACGTCCCAGCTAAGAAACAAACCAGGTCGGACAGGCATTCGGCACAGGAGTCAGGAAGCCACCCGAGGTGCCTGCATCCCACACCGGAGTGCCTCAGAGCTGCGATGTCTTTCTGAGCCCGCTTCCTGCTAACGCACACGCCGGAGGCAGCAGGCCACGGCTCACCTCTTGCGGTCACTGCCATCCAGGAGGGAGATCTGCACCGAGTTCCAGGCTCCTGGGCTTGTCTGGCCCAACCCCGGGAGTTGTGGGCAGTGGGGTGCCAACATTATGGAACATCTCTCTCTCTCTCTACTGACCTATTTCTGTCTCTCTGCATTTCAAATAAAATGGGGGACATGGAGCCACAGTCCCCGGGGCCCACAACCGCTGCTTTCCCTCTGTGGAAGCAGAGGCTGAGACCAGAACACCTTCACTGGCCTTCTCCCGTGCCTGGGGCCAGGTGAAGAGGTCTCTAGCTGTGTAGGTGGCTGGATGGTACGGACCTCCTCTTCCAAACTGTCCCACCCCCTCCCCACCAAGTCCCTGGGTTTCTGAGGCTCACCTGCAGACACTCGGAGGGGCACTAATGGAGCCGTCTGTGGTGGGGGGCGGGGGTGCCACAGGGGCAGGACAGAAGCTCTTCCGTGTGTCTGCAAACCCGGGAGCCGTGGTCGCAGTTTTGGGGAAGGAGGGGGCCGCGAGGTTGGCAAGGTGAGGTGCGGAGGAGGGCGCGAGGGCAGCAGGGGACAGGGCCGGGAGTGGCGCCACGCCTGTGGGGCTGCTCCTGGGGGCAGCTGGTGCTGGGTGTCTGTGGTCCTCTTTGTTGATGCCGTGGAAGACGTCACCTGCATTCAGAGGGTCAAGAGTCACTGCCAGCGGCTGAAGACAGGACAGACACTCACGTTTTCCTTAGTTACATTTTCCAGCAGGTTTTTGGTAAGAAAATATGCAAACCTACAGAAAGACCTGACGGAATCCTACAGAGAACACGATCCTTCACCTTGATCCATCAGGGTCTCAGGCTCTGTCACTGGATCCCTCACACACCCGTGACGCTGCTGTTGCCGTCAGTGTGCTGCACTGACCCCACACACGCGGGCAGGACCCTACCGCAGACCACTGACGGCACCCGACCCCGCCTCAGCTTCTCCCCCAGCCCGGCCTCTGGTAAACCCTTTTCTTTTCTCGAGACTCACGTCTCCTAAAAGGCCACGGATCTGCATTTACCTTGTCTCATCAGACTCAGGTGGAAGGTTCCGGGCACGAACCCTGCAGGGCGACGCTCGCTCTTTCCCGCTGTGTGGCAGGGGGCGCGCCCAGGGGGCCTCTGCTCTGTGAGTGTGGGGGCTACCTGCCAGCCTCCTCCAGCCCTCTGTAACTCTGTCTCCTGCGGTACTGCGAACGCTACACTCCCCACGCGCGCTTCCCCGGCAGAGCCTGCGCTGCCGGCTGCCCGCGCGCCTTCCCCCTCTCTCCTCCTCGGCCCTCCAGCAGCGGCGGCTCCGTGCAGGTGCCCACCCCCGTCAGCTCTTCAGTGAGCCCTCCTGAAGGCCAGCTCTCGGCCTCCCTGACGTTTGCCCCTGGTCTCTGAGTGCTTCCTTGCTTTTGCGCCCCCTTCTCAGCACTGGAAAACAGGGGAAGCTCAGTGACAGTGGGGGCTGGGCCCCTCCCTGGGTGACAGGAAGCCCTGCCAGCTCGCACTTGCTTTCTAGAGCCCAGTCCTGCCCCACGGTCAGCAAGCAGTGACCTCTTCCTGTCACAGAGCGACAGGGAGAGAGCAGAACCGAGACCCGGCTCAGCGAGGCCGAGGGGCTTCAGCGGGGCGGCTCGGCTGCTAGCCGGAGCCCCAGAGGCCCCAGACGCCCGTGCGCTCGGCTGGGCCCTCGGGAACGGCAGTGGCAGGGACAGCGGGCAGGGGAAGCAGCTGCTGCCCAGGGTCCGGGCTGACGGCCTTACCTATGGAAGGAGGTCTCCTGGACGACACCTTGAACTGGCTGTTGCTGGACTGCACTGTCGTGGCTGTGCACGACACGGAGGACGTGGCTGACGAGGTGGCCATGACAACTTTGTTTGCTTCCATAAAAGCATCTTGGAAATTGTACAAACATTTCTTTTTTGCAGCATTTTTTCTCTCTTTACTATCCAAAACTGTAGGTGCTTCACTGCTAGATGGAGGTGGAAGGGCTTCAGCTCTTGTCTCTGAGAGTGCTGGCCCTAATACGTCACTCCCTTCGGAGAAGAACACGAAAATTAAGGCTTCTCAAAGAAAGAACACACAGCCACACACTGAGGACACGCTGCTCACTCAACACTTGGCATGGGGACTGCTGCTGGCGTGAGGGCCCCACTGAGCCGGTTCTGGACAACGTCTGAGCCGGTTCTGGACAGCGTCTGAGCCGGTTCTGGACAATGTCTGAGCCGGTTCTGGACAACGTCTGAGCCGGTTCTGGACAATGTCTGAGCCGGTTCTGGACAACGTCTGAGCCAAGAGAAAGGCGTTATTGAGCACCTACTATGTGCCACTTCCTGTGCCGGGTGCTTTCCAAAGCCACGTGATGTCTGAAGACTGCTGTCTGAGGTTGGTACTGCTACTTCCATCCTAAAGATGAAGGCACTGAGGCTCAGAGAGGCTAAGCAACTTGCCTAAGGTCACACAGCTAGAAACCCTTCCCAAGCAAAGACCAGATGTCACGTCTAGCTCGCTGTTCTGAGCACACTGTGGGGGCTGGGGCGAGGCTGCCAGGAGCTCCAGCCACACGAAGACAGAGATAGGCGTTGGTACCAGCCCCTCCTCAGGTGCCCCGACCCTGTGGCTAAAGTAACAGCTGAGCCTCGGCAGCTGGGGAGGAAGGAGCTTGTTAGGGGAGGACCCCATGTAGGGTCAGTACAGAAATCAGAGGAAAGGGATGTAAGACACAGCATTCAAGTAGACTTGGCACTGTCTCCTGTCCCCTTTGCACTGGGCTGAGGTCTGGCTGTCCCTGCTGGCCAAGAACGGAAGGCTGACCCTGACCCTTAGAGACCAGACCTTAGCAGCGTTTCCGCAGGGCCCGTGCAGGTCGGCACCCGACAGGCTCTGAGCCAGAGCCCTGCTGGGCCCACCAGTGCAGATGTGAAGGACGGCACGGGCCACGGGCCTGGGCATCCCACTGGAGACTGAGGGAGGGGCGGCAGCTGGCATGGCTTAGCAGGGAGTCTGTGGGAGACTACAACAAGGATGTCAATCCACTCAGCTGGGAGTATCTTAAAACTTTAAGAAAAGTTTTAACAAATTCCTTACCAGAAATTGTATCTGGCAAGAAAGTGCCAGGATTCCAGTTCTTATCATTCATCACTTCTGATCCCCAAAGACTTATAAATTTAGAACTATTCCACTCTGGAGTAGTCCCAAAACAGCTTGGATAAATGTGGTCTTGAAGAGATGCACTGAATACCTGAGGCTTATTTGTGTGATTCTGAACAGGTGCTGGCGGTAAAGCCTACAAAAAAAAATTGTCTAATCACATACCAGAGTCAATATTCTGTTAGCTAAGTAGCAACGTGCACGCGACGAGTCATAGCAGTGCCCTGCGGGAGGTGCTCGCTGTGCGCGGCTGGCTGGCCCTGGGCACACCTCACACAGCACGCGTGGCTTTGCAAGGCGGTGAGTGGTAGGTCAGATCGCCACCAGAGGGAGACTGCAAGCCGCTGCGGCCTCCAGGGACCCATCGGAACACCCTGCCAACACCCCTGCCTACTCGTGTTTGCAGCTGGTTCGTAGCCATCAGAGCTCCTAGGCTCACTCTCCTCTGACACTGCGGTGGCTGTCACTGACACGTCAACTTTGGAACTGCTGACGAAAAGGACAGAGCCCTCTCACTGCTCCCTTGCTGGGCAAAGCGCAGGCTAAGTCTCAGGACCCGGAGGGATTGACTGGGCTCTGAAGAAGGTTGGAGTCGCCTCACGAGCAAGTCCTGTCTGGGCCCTTGTGACGGGCAAATCCCGGGGAGGTGACTTAGGGTCCAGCCAGCTGGTCAGCCAGCACCCACAGGCTTACTGAGTACCTTGTCATCTGGTCGCTCCCTGAACACAGCTGGGCGGCTCTGAGCCCTCACTTCCCTTAGCACCAGGCCCTGTCCGTGACCACCAGGGAACTTCTGAGCGCCCCAAGCCTTGTCCTCACGGCAGAAGAGGGATCCTCTGTGGACGGCCACTCCCTGCTCAGAGCAGCAGGGCTGTCCACTGCTCTGGAAGTGAGAACTCTCGGGACTCGGCCCACCCCCCACGCAACCTCCCCGCCCACCAAGCCCCTGGAAACACAGGCCTTCCCCTTGGTCTCCGAACTCCCAGGACCTCCTCTTCACCCTGAATTCCGCTATGTCCACGTCTAGAACGTCCTAATCTGTTCATCATGTCACTCACTCACACTCGCCCTGCAGGTCCCAGCCCTAATTACCACTTCCTGAGAAGGCGTGCTCTCTCCCCGACACCCAGGACCGCGGCGAGCCTCCCCAGACACACACTGAAGCCTGATCTTTCTTCTTGGCTCCTAACGCAGTTGCACATCAAGACCTCCTTGGGGCCTACTGCTTCACTGTCTGCTTCCCTCCCAGTCAGACGTCTTCTTTCTGAGGAGCTGGGGCGTCTGGGTCCTGGCCCTCTGCCCAGCCCTCGTCACTGTTGTTCTGCTGCCATGGGACACGTCTTGCCCTGCAGAAGTCACAGCTCCGTGCTGGGAGAATGCCTGGTGATCTGGCCTTTGAGATGACAAATGAGCCATGGATCCTGTACACCCGAGGGGAGGGTTTAGGGGGATTCCCAAGAGCAGGGGATGGGTGGGCAGAATCCCGAGGGCCCTGTTGGTGCACAAGGAGGGAGGGGAGGGGACAGAGCACAGGGATGGCTCATGCACGTGGCTCTGGGACCAGAGAGGATAGTGGCCAAATCAGAAACAGCTGTGTATGACTTCTGCCCTGAGGGGGCCTGGGAGCCTTGGAGAGTTCAAGGAGAGTGGAATGACTGGGGCGACAGAAGATCAGTCCATGGCAACACGGAGACAAAGCAGAGAGGGAGGAAGGCGACACTGGAGCAGTTAGTCAGGGGATGGGGAGTGATGGTGAAGATGGCTGTCGAGACAACAGCTGTGACTGAACGGCTCGTTCTGGGGCCGCCACTCCTGGCTCCAGCACACGGGAGTGCAGTCAGGTGACGGAGCTGGGTCCGTCTCTGCCTCCCTTCTACTAGCTGTGTGACCTCAGGCAAATCACTTTTTGTGCTTTTAGTCTTCTCATCTGTCCTGGGAAACACCTACCTCCAGGGCTGCACACTGGGCCTCACGTGGTCACCACCACTCTAAAGCTACGGCGTGGGTCCTCAGACTCCATCCACCCAACCAACAAGCTGACCAAACCCATGCTCCGGGGCCTCAAGCAGACAGAAAGTGGCCAGTGACTCCACCTGGGCAGTGTACACTGACCCCCAAGGGGCCAGGGAGGCAAAGCGGAGGGACTCAAAGCGAGAAGGGGGTTTACACTAGCAATTCTGGTGGGGGGACCACAGAGAGCAAAGGAAGCCAAGAAAACCACGTTTCTACAGATGCCAGGCTGCGAAAGGTGGAGGAAAGCAGACCGCTCTGACGAGAGAACTGGTAACAAACAGCAATAAAATCTAAGGCTTCGAGCCTCAGGGCCCTTCTGCTAAGGAACAGAAGGACCTGGAAGGTTTCTCGGCCTCAGAAGCGGCTGCATCTTGCTGGCCCTGAACAGCAGTAGCACCTCCAGTGCCCTGCAGCTGCCTGCGTACCTCTCAGGACCTCCTCAGACACACCTGGGAAAGCCTGGCTGTGAGCAGGTGCCTGTTCCGCCACCCCTGCGTGTCCACGGAGTCTGTGCTCACTCCGCCAGCCCTGTTTCGGAAGCCTCCCCTCCTCTGTGAAGTCAGCCCCAGATTCCATGTCTGCTGGTACTTCCCTAAGCCCTGCAGCTACCAGGTTTGTCACAGCACTGGGGTGTTTTAGTCTCTGAAAACGTGGATGGGCATGGACTGACTGGCTTTCCTAGAAGGTAGCACAGGGCCTGGCACATACTGGGTGTTCAATAAATTGTGTGCTAAGCAGAGTTTAGCTTGGACAGGAACAGGGAATTCAGTGCTGGAAACAGATGATGACTCTACACAGTCTACTTACACACTTCTCCAGAAGCCCACCTGCTCAGAACAGAGGCCCGATGCAGAGACAAAGGCAAAAGGGGGAGCAGTAACAAAAACAAGTACCGGATTTTTTCATGTTTTTGCACAAGATGCCTACTGACCCCAACACTTAAGGGTTTTCTCCAGAAAAACACAATAAACAAAGTCAGTGTCTGACAACTAGATCATTTTGTGGCCAAGGCCATGTGAAGTACACCAGTGATGTAACCATAAAGTAAGTGTCCCAAAGTGTGAATACTACTATCAAATTACAATGGATTTCCACACAAAACTTCAATTCATAGAAATTTTGATCGTCTTCCACTTTGAGACAAAGAAGCAATTCATAGGGGAGTCTGATTTTAAAGGAAGTCTCTGACACGAGTGCAGGCACGGGACCGGCATTTGGGTGCCGGAGCCAGACACCTGCTAATGCAGGCCCTGAGGCGAAGCAGTGACTTTCTCAAGTGGTTGGGTTTTTATAGCCTATGTGGGAGACCTGGATTGAGTTCCTGGCGCCCAGCCCAGCCCAGCCCAGCCCAGCCCAGCCCCAGCTGCTGTGGGCACCTGGGGACTGCACCAGTGGCTGGAAGCCCTGTGTGTCTGTCTCTGCAAACATAAGCAATGCCTTCCCTAAGCATGCATTCCTGTTTACCCAGGAGCAGGGATGCAGCCTGTCCGCTAACCACCCCAAACCCTAGGAACATGGGGGCAAACAATGACAAACCAAGAGCGTAAAAAACTAGAGCATTAAGCCCACACTTGAGATCCCAACACTAACACTCAAACCCAAGGGAATTCCAGTTGTAAGAACACTGAAGGTGAGGGACTCAGGGTTGCTGTTGTGGGGCAGTGGGTTAAGCAACCACCAGCAGCGCCAGCATCCCATATGGGTGCCGGTTCTAGTCGCGGCTGTTTCATCCCAGTCCACCACCCTGCTAGTGTGCCTGGGAAGCAGCAAAGGGCGGCCCAAGTGCTTGGGCCCCTGCACCCACGTGGGAGACACGGCTGGAATTTCTGGCTCCTGGCTACGTCCTGGCTGAGTTTGGGGAGTGAACCAGCAGATGGAAGCTCAATCTCAAACTTTCTAACTCTGCCTTTCAAATAAAATAAGTAAATCTTAACACAAAAGCAAAAACAAAAACAGCTGAGTACTTTGGTAATTTGTTGGCTAATTTGGTAATTTGGTAATTCGGCTTAATTGTGTTTTTCAATGTTCCTCCCAGGAGACAGTAAGGAGACAAAGGAACCATCTTTGTTTTGACCTCGACAGTTCTCAGACTAGAACTGAATACCATCCACAGAATAAAATACACATCGGTGATCATAATATGATCCTCTGAGTCATGACCTATTTACGCCCCAATCTTCCACTCACATTTCCCACCCAAATCCCAGCCTGAACCTACATTTGAGCCAAGTTTTAACGGCATCACACACACACACACACGCACACACACACACACACACACACACGCAGTGGCTGTACTCAGGAAAGTCGAGATTCCCACCTGCAACCTTGAAGGCAGCAAGGAGCCGACTGCCCGGGGTGAGCTGTGGGAGCCATGGCCAGCTCCGCATCAACGCACCATGCCAGAACCCAGACACTATGATTTTTTTGACAGGCAGAGTTAGACAGTGAGAGAGAGAGAGACAGAGAGAAAGGTCTTCCTTCGTTGGTTCACCCCTCAAATGGCTGTTACGGCCGGCGCGCTGCACCGATCCGAAGCCAGGAGCCAGGTGCTTCCTCCTGGTCTTCCATGCGGGTATAGGGCCCAAGCTCTTGGGCCAACCTCCACTGCACTCCCAGGCCACAGCAGAGAGCTGGCCTGGAAGAGGGGCAACCGGGACAGAATCTGGTGCCCCAACCGGGACTAGAACCTGGGGTGCCGGTGCCGCAAGGCGGAGGATTAGCCTAGTGAGCTGCGGTGCCGGCCAGAGACTATCTTCAATACTCCCCCATGCTCCCAGTGGGGAACCCGAGATATTCCTCTACTTCCTTTCTGGGCCCTCTCTTAGAAGCTTGGGATCCTGTCCAAATTCTGGCCCTGCAGGGAAGGGGCCTATCACCAGAAATAGCAGGGGGAAGCCCAATTTTTCTTAAGGACGTTCTTCCGGGGGCCAGTCCTGTGGCGTAGCAGCCATCTGGGGAGTGAACCATCGGATGGAAGCCTCTCTCTCTCTCTCTCTGCCTCTGCCTCTCTGTAACTCTACGTTTCAAATAAATAAATGAATCTTGAGAAAAAAAAAAGAAAAAAAAAAAAAAAGGATGTTCTTCCTCTCTAGGCTGGACTCTGTCAGCTGTGAAGGGCTA